AAAGTTAATCAAATTATTACGTGGAAAAAACCATTAGTTACACGTAAAAAACTATTTTTTACGCGTATAAAACTATTTGTTACTGGTAGAAAACTACTTTTTACGCGTATAAAACTATTTGTTACGTGTAAAAATCTATATGTTACACGAAAAAAACTATTTTTTAAGTGTAAAAAACTATTTGTTACACGTAAAAAACTATTTTTAAGTGCAAAGAACTGTTTGTTACACCTAAATAATTATTGTTACACGTAAAAAACTATTTCTTGCCCGTAAAAAACTATTTTTTACGCGTATAAAACTATTTTTTAAGTGTAAAAAACTATTTGTTACACGTAAAAAACTATTTTTAAGTGCAAAAAACTGTTTGTTACACCTAAATAATTATTGTTACACGTAAAAAACTATTTCTTGCCCGTAAAAAACTATTTTTTACGCGTATAAAACTATTTGTTATTGGTAGAAAACCATTTTTGCGCAAAAACTATTTTTTACGTGTAAAACACTATTTGTTACACGTAAAAAACTATATTTTACGCATCAAAAACTTATTGTTTCTGATAAAAAACTTTTTTTTCGTTAAAAAAAATATTTTTTACGTGTAAAAAACTATTTGTTTCACGTAAAAAACTATTTTTTACTCGTACAGCACTACTCGCTACAGGTAAAAAAGATATTTTTACGCAAAAAAAATATTTTGTAAGCATAAAAATAAATTTTTTGCACCTAGAAAACTATTTTTTACACGTATAAAACTATTTGTTACCCGTAAAGAACTGTTGGTTATGCGTAAAAAACCCATTTTACGCATAAAAAACAATTTTTTACGCGTAAAAAATATTCCTTTAATTTATTACTTTCTCAACATTTCAAACTACACTTTTTCAAACATTTCCTTCAAATTTTTGAATTTAATAGAATCTTCCTAAAGCAGTATATGTTCTCTATAAAAATATTTTTAGATAATACTCTAAAATGAAAAAAAATGCATAATATTTAATTTATTTTAAATTAAATATTACGTCCGCCTATGACGGGGTCTCATAAAAAACGCTAAAGACGCTACAGAAAACAAATTGATTTGTTTTCATTTGCGTTTTTTGCGAGACACGCCGAACGCTAGACGCTTTTGGTGGGGCCACTCCTATATAATCCTGTTATTTTGTTTTAGACGCTAAAGACGCTTCACGCTAAAAACGCAAAAAACGCTTTCTGTGTGGCCATGCACTTACTACGGCTCCAACGTCATAGCAGCGTAAAGTCCTAACGCTTTAACCACGCGGCCACCGAAGACTTGAAAGATGCTATGTAAAATTCTTACTTAAAAGATAATGTTTAGTGAAAGTACTTTTTTATTTATAAACATTTATTTAATTCTGTTTTTAGTACATGTTCTTATAGCGGCAACATAGATACATTATCTGTTAAAATTTCAACTGTCTAGCTATAACGGTTCATAAGATAGACTTTTGTGACACACGGACGGACGGACGGACAGCGAAGTCTTAGTAATAGGCTTCCCGTTTTTATCCTTTGGATACGGAACCCTAAAAAAAGAACATTCTGTATAAAGCAGTGTGAAAACTTGCGGCAAGTGTTGAGTGAACGTACATTGACAAAAAACGTGGTTATCTAAAACACGTTCCGTAACAATATTTGTCTTTTAATCCAGAGAAAAAGTCAATATTTCGTTATTACGAATTACGAGTTCAGCACGTTCTTGCCACACATTTTATTTCGTTATTTATATCTTCTATCTGAACAAGTTTCTTTCTATTTTTTTACAGTAGCAGTTGTTCTCAGTGTTTCTATATTGACAATCGATAAGATCTTAAAGCAAAATTGCATTCTCCATTAAATTACTGGGGATACTATATCCCACAACAAAATAAATAATAAAATTTTGTATTTACATCTTGGAGTTTGATTAACCTAACCCTCGTGTACACGAGTGGTACTTGCGGGTTGACCACAGGTTAGCCTGTCATTTCTAGTATATTCGTCTGAGAGTATGTTATTCCCCCCATCAAAACCATTCTGACCCCTTTTGTTTACTCACGATTTACTAAACACCCTCTAGTGGTCTCCAATCCATTGATAAGCTTGTCATATGTTCCTGATACCACTCAGTTCTAATTATAAGCTCTGCATTGGCATATTAATGTCCTTAAGTGTATTTTTACGAATAAGTATATCTATTCCATTAAATTATCTCGGTTGTTCTTCTGTAATGGTGGATTCGAAATTTATTCACAATTTTATTGGATAGGGTTTCCACTTATTTTTCTTCATTAGGTTTAAAATTTTATATAGCTCGTTTGTTTAATATTTTCGTCCATTCGTCAATCCCCAATTATTTCAGTCAAATAGAACAAAAATACTATAAATCAATATACTAAAAATTATGTGCATTAGGGCATAGATATATTAGTTTTATATCGGTATTTTTATTAAGCCACATTGTTTGTTCTTCATATTCTATTAGTATAGGGTTGGCGAGGTTGTTTTTTGCAGGTAGTTTTTTAAATATGGTAATTTTTTGACGTCATCAATTTTGTGTTTATGACATGCCAGCGGTGTGACCACCGGTCAGCGAGAATCGTGTATTTAACTATGATAAACGATATAGAAAAACTGTGTAACAAAACTACCAATATTTTTTAAAAATTAAATTTTTACCTCCCCTGTAACCCCACAAAATATAGCTGTTATTATAATAATTTAGTTACAGCTTCTTGAAGACTATAACTTTAATCCTGGCCTGCGGTTATCTTCTAAAACTCTGTTGATGACACCAAAGCAGCTTGTAACGAACAGCCTCATGTCATTTTCAGGGGTCATTTTCTTATACCCATTAAAGGGCCCAAAGTTAATTCATTACCACTATACTAGTTGTAATATATTGATGATAATTAAAGGAACATCTTGAAATTTAACCGAAAATATAAGATATTTTTATAGGAAGAAGTTTAAAGAATGCAATAAGGAACAAATTTCTGTGTCTTTTCAGTTTCTCTCAGTTTTTTTATTTAATTTTCCTGAGGTCTAAGCAAACATTATATCTTTTTCGTAAATGGTCTTAGTAATAAAAACACTCAGGCTTCTTTAAGTGTTATTTCCAATTAGCTGTATCAGGAAATATATATTTCTTTTATTAAATATCCAGGATATAAGGTAAACAAGTAAAAATGGTAAGGTTATTCTGTTTAAATTAATTAAAAATATATTATAAAGTTACAATACAATTTAGTATTACTAATTTAAGTTCTTTATTTAACAGGGGAGTGCTTCGTTTTGGAACAGTTTAATTTATTATTTTGTATACTTTTTCCACTTGCTGTTCTTTAATTGGAAATCCTTCCTGAGAAGGTACACTAAACAAAAGGAAGATAAATATACATCGTTAGACTTTATAAAATTAATTTTTGCGAAAAATATTGTTTATTTGCTCTCAAATAAAGATTCTAGCTATTTTTAATGTGCTACGTTTTAGATAAGTACACTAGAAATTGTTTTAGTAAAATAGTTAAACATAAATTACATCCTTTGAGATACACTTGGTACAGGAACAAACTAAAACTTAAAGCAAATTCAAATCAATGAGGTAAGTACGAGTAACTAATTTGCCAACAAGACGCACAACTAAATATAAATAAACTAGTGGCATTACTTAAATTTCTGGAAATAAACTAACGTGCTAATTACTAATTAATAGTTTTGGCGTTCATCAGAAATAACTCAAAATTGTTTAATCCCGTAAGTCGACTAAGTAGGAATTTTGTTTTATTAGCGGAACTTTGATATAGTTCTGCGATTATTATTTATATTCTACTAACGAGAATGTTAGAAACTTCAAGCTTTAGGTCATGAAAGAAAGATACTTTTTGTAGTATGTGTTGAATCTAGCTGCTACATGATTTTCGTCATTTCACCAATGTTGTTAAAGCTGCTCTAAAAAGGCGTAGAATAAGAAAATATAAGCCAGTATGGTCTTATGGAAACAATAGTAGATGTTGAAAACGGTTTTAATATCTGCTGCTCTTTCTTGAATATCAATCTACATAAATCTACATAAAATTTTCTACAAATACTGATATCCTCATAATTTTAGAACTTGTTTACTGTTCCTTAGGGTTTTGAAAATGTGTCAAAAATGGGCATTTTCGACTTTTTCCATACATATAGTCATAAAAATTGGCGATTTTGTTAAAACTGCTGTTATTTACTAATTAAAAGGTGTAGAATAAAAAAATATGGGCCATTGTAGTCCTACGAGAATAGTAATAGACGTAGGGAATGTTTTAACCTTTATCATAAATAAGTGAAAAATAAGGGTCCAAAAAATTAATTTTCTCACAAAGCTTAGATACCTAACCCTTCAAAGGTGTATATATTCTGAATCTACATAAAATTTCCAACCAATGCTGGTATTTTCATAATTTTAGGACTTTGTTTACTATGTTTCTTAGGGTTTTGAAAATGTGTAAAAAATAGTCATAAAAATTGGCGATTTTCGTCACGTCATCGATTTTGTTTTGGTTTGGTTTGGCCAAACCAAACCAAACTGCTGTTATTTACTAATTAAAAGGCGTAGAATAAGAAAATATAGGCTATTGTAGTCCTACGAAAACAGTAATAGATTTAGGGGACGTTTTAAGCTTTATCACAAATAGCTAAAAACAAGGCATCCAACCCTTCAAAGGTGTATGTATTCTGAATTTATATAAAATTTCTAAAACTCTAAATTTTACTTCTCATAATGTTATAACTACGTTTCTTAGAAACTGGTAGTTAGGTCATGAAAGAAAGATAATTTTCGTTGCATTGTTGAAACCAATTTCTACAGCTTATAGATTTGTGAGTTTTGAATACTTGTTTTCACTTTTCGCTTGATTCAATTTGAGGCGGGTATCGATTTGCTCTTATTCAGTTTATATTGAGAGGCGAGGAAGAAATAACAAATGTTCGTCGACTATTGTACGGGTTTTTCTCTTTTTTAGATGCGGCGTTTGCCTTTGAGCCCGACTTCCTTTACCCTCTAGAAAACCTAACTGTTCCCCAAGGAAGAGATGCTGTTTTTACGTGCATAGTTAACAATTTGGGAGGATACAGGGTGAGTGGGGATTCAGCCACAGCCAGGGTGTGTATTTTTTCAATTTAATATTCCATGCACCTAACGACATCTGGAAGGAAATGTTCACAAAAACTTTATCAGCACAATTCGGATAATATGTCGTACATGAAGAACCGACTGCTGATATCGTTTTATGAACATTTCTTTCGGAAGATGATCCAGCACTTAGCACCGAGCACAGAAGCACTGATGCATTTCTGCACCTGCACAAGCACTCAGCACTTAGCACGTAATTATTATTCAGCACTATCGCTATATTTACGAAACAACATATTTTCACTATATAGGGCGTCAAAAAAATAGTGTATCTCATAAGTATCTATCGCCATTTGCTTTGGCACTAAAATATGTGCAAGAGCACCAAATTTCAGGAAAGTCGGTTTACCAATGTCCTTAAAAATAAACAAAATATATTTATTTAATATCCTTTCGAAGGTTTATTTAATTTCTTCGAGAAGCTAGAGCACATGTTCATAGAAACTTTTTGTTTTGGTTACTAGATACACTATTTTTTAGACACCCTGTATATTTAAATAATAATGTTATTTGTGCAACATTTTGAAAGAAAATATGTTGATTCATATCTATATACTACACTAGTATTCCTAGATTTAGATTGTTTATTTTTGATATATAGAAAATTGAAGACAAAACTAATCTGAACTGATTTAAATACTTAGTAGTTTAATATTGGGTAGTGTTTCTCATAGTTATGTTATTTTTATTATAAAAATATATTTAAACTTTTTCCTATATATCCAAATGTCACATAAACAATATCGAATATATGAGAAGTAATTTAAATGGTAATATTTTAATTATAATATGATTCTATCTTTCATTAAAGTCAATATAAATACGAAGTGGCAAATACTATTTATATTCGAAAATTTAAAATGTATATATTCGTGATTGGTTTCTATATCCGTAAAATATTTTAAATATTGTAGTTGGAGAAAAGAAATTTTAATTGACCTTTGAAACTTTATTTATATTTAGGAATATAACACACTATTTGTTTATCCTTAATTCTAGGTCATTTTCTACGCCGCATTGTATATATTAGAACAGATTGATGACTTTGCTGGTTTAGAAAATGTAAAACATTTTCTCTAAAGTAGACGTTTATTGCACATCACTTTAAACTTAAAACAGAAACCAGATCTTCTTTGACATGCCTACCCAACTAAACTAACAAAACCGTTAAGCATTTTACCAATAAACTGAACAGTGAACATAGCTGTATCTTTGCAGATTCTGTACAGCATATTTTAACTATAGCTCACAGATTAAATGATTATTTGTACAGGTTGGGTCAAATTCGACGCTTTTAAATGGAAACACCCTTTTCTATAGGAGATAGACAAAAACTAATATCGGTGTCTGGAGCTGAATTTTTGTCAAAAACATGATGGTGAAAACCGCATATCGATATCTGTTACCGTTTCGGATTTTTTCAAAAATATACATTTTTAACAAATCGCTGTAACTTTTTTGCTATGAAAAATTTTGTATTTTTATGAAAACATTTCCAAAGTATCTTTTTACGTAGAATTTAATGGTTTAAGTATAATTTTTTTAAAATTAATAATTTAAGAATTATCAACAAAAAATTTGATTTTTTATATGGAACACCCTGTAAATTTTTAATTTATTGAAAAGAATTTAAAATTACCTTTCCAAAAATATAACACACTTGTTATTTTGCTCGATTCCTCTTCGAGATATAGAGTATATAAAAATTCGCCCGCTTTAAATAAGTAGGCTTTGAACGGCACCGGCTGTAATGCAAAAAATTTCTAGCTGTGAGCATCAATTAAAACGAAAATAATATTTGCTATGAGAGATGCAGAATTTTATAACAATTTAAAATATATTTAACCAACATCAACACATTTAAACTATATCTAATAACAATAAAAATAAATAGCAAACCAAGACATGAGATTTTGCTACATACAGATGTTCGACATATCGACCGTCTTCTGTTATGGACAGACGAGGCACTTTTTGAACATTTCTCGCGGAATTCATTTCAGTGGGGGTGAAAAATACCTTCTCATAACTGCTAAGTATTTCTAATTCTTGTCTAGATTGTACGGAAGAATAATGAACCTTTATTCTTCCGCAAATATATCCATAGGATTAGATCCATGGGCACTAAGTCAGGCGGCCTCGACGGCCAACGGCTGGGATCTTGGTTAGCTACCCAATTATTCTTGAAATTGGCTGCAAAAATTTGCTGATAACATCAGCGTTCAAAGGCAGTGCGCCGTTTTGCTGGAAAAATATATTTTCGAGTTCTATTAAGGGCATATCATCAATAAGGGGTCCAAAGCCTACCAGTTAAAAGTGGCGAACTTTTATAAATTCTGTATTTCGAAGAGGATTATAACAAAATATCAAGTGTGCTATATTTTTGGAAAGGTAATTTTAAATTCTTTTCAGTTAATTAAAAAATTAAAATATTAATTTTAAAAAAATTATACTTAAACCATTAAATTCTACGTAAAAAGGTGCTTTGGAAATGTTTTCATAGAAATACAAAATTTTTCATAGCAAAAAAGTTACAGCGATTTGTTAAAAATGCACATTTTTGAAAAACACTCCGTAACTCCGAAACGGTAACAGATATTGATGTGCGGTTTTCACCATCATGTTTTTGATGAAAATTGAGCTCCAGACACCGGTCTATCTCCTATAGAAAAGGGTATTTCCATTTAAAAGCGTCGAATTTGACCCACCCTGTACTTAAAAAAGAATCGTTATTCAACATTTTTATGGAATAAATTATTGTTGTTATTACTCAACATTCTAAGTTCATAAATTGGCAATGCAAAAGCTTTCCCAGCAATGGCCACATTTGGAATTACGAATTTAAACAAGACCAAAATAATATATATTATAATAACCTAATATTCGAAAATGAAAAACAAGGTATCATTCAAACATATATTACAAATAATATTATAATTAAAATTTAATGGATATTTTCAAATTGACAAATTGAGTTTGCCACTAATGTAATACTATACGAAGTAATAAGCAAATACACAGATTTTTAAAATTTTTAATTATACAGGGTGGACCGAACTGTATGCCGGAAACTTTGGCAGCATATTCTACAGATAAAAATGAATAAAAAAGTTCGTATAAATGTATGTCCTAAAATGCTTAGTTTCGGAGACACAGGGTGTAGAAGTTTTATTTTTATTTCGATTTTTTCCAAATAATTTCTGAAGTAACGTCAAATGAAAATTGGTGCCTGGGAGTTTTTTGACATGAGAAATTTGATTTTGATGTCAATATGACTCCTACTTGTAGGTGGCGCCACCGACATGTGTTTTAACTGTTTTTTGAAGTATAAAACTATTGAGTAAAAACACATTTCTGTGATTTTTTACGTAAAAAATGTCTCTTGGTAAAAATCGCTGCGAGCAACCGTTCTCAAGTTATTTAGAATGGAAATAGTCAGTACATGTCATTATTGACAAAAAATAAACATATTGAGTAGATAGTTATTTGACTGAAATGATAAATTTGGGAAGTTTTTATTTTTTTAAACTAATCATAAATTTTTCTTCGAAAAAATGATGATAAAACAGTTTCAGTTGATCTTTTGGCACAAAAACATCTCATATTTATGATTTCAGTCTAATAACTATTTAGTCAACATGTTTAATTTATGTCAATAATGATGAAGTATTGATAATTTAGATTCCAAACATCTCGAGAATCATTAGAGGCATTTTTTTACGTAAAAAACGTCGTAAATGTATATTTTTTTACTCAGTACTTTTATACAGGTACGGACAAAAAGACTCTTCAAACCAGTTAAAAAATATGTAGGTGGCGCTCCCTACAGGTAGGAGTTATATTAACATCAAAATCAAATTTCCCATGACAAAAAACTCATTTTGATCCAAAGATCGACGTTACTTCAGAAATTATTTGGAAAAAATCGAAATAAATATGAAAATTCTACACCCTGTATCTCCAAAACTAAACATTCTAGAACATACATTTATACAATTTTTTTTTACCTATTTTTATCTGCAGATTATACTGCTGTTTCCGAAATACAATTCGGACTACCCTGTATTTTGAGTACGGTACTTCTAAAACTACAGGGGACGTTTTAACCTTCACAGGGTCGAAAAAATTCATTTTCTCACAAAACCAAGTCATCCAAGCTTTCAAAGATGTATATATTCTGGATCTACTCGTACATAAAATTTCCTACAAATTCTAAAAATTTTAAAATGTTTACTATTTTTCTATGACCTTTCTCCAGTATTTTCTTTCATAAATAAAATTTGTTTAAGCTTTCTATAATAAAAGTTCGACAAATTTTTCCGAACTAATTAAAAATATTTATTATAATATACTTCAACGTTTGCATAAAGAGATTCTAATCTAGTTCAGCCATTTAAAAGTTTGAAAGGTTTCCTTTGAGAAAAACAGTCTTACATTAATTAGATGCATTTGCAATTCTTCCTGTCCTCAGATACTTAAAGAAAAAACTTTATAAAATAACTAATAAAATTAAAACTGCGTCTTAACTTAGACTGGCATTTAAATTTGCGTTGGTTGGCTTCTCTTAAATATCAATTTAAACTGTATACACTTCATTAAATTTCAATTTTACAGCTATTGTCCCATTTAGGTTACAGCCAGTGGTTGCACGACGACGAAATTTAAGATCTTTACATACACAAAGATGTTTTTTATGTAAAAATTGTTTTAAATAAATTCTGTTTTTTTAGTTTATCTTCTTAACGGTATATAGGCCTGAGGAGGAATCTTCTATATTAAATTGAAAACTCAAAAGCGTTTTATCAGAAAATTATGAAATTAAATTGAAAAATTTACTTGAGCGAAAATACTATTTTGCCTTGCTCCATTCAAAAGTAAGGTTTTTTCAAAATTTAATTAAAAATATCATATTATATGTTTTTTTTTCAATTTTTCTTATACAGTATGTCCCAGGATTTTCTTTTTTATTATTGACATTTTGAGAAAAATAGATTCTTTATAAAAAAAATTGCTTGTTCTAAAATCGTTAATACCGTTTATATTTTTCCAAATTTCTTTACAAACAAATCATGAAAATATGGTTGTTTTGTTCATTTAACATTTAAAAAACAGCAAAAAATATGACGTTAATTAAAATTCTATCAACAACAAGCTAAAAAAAACTAAAAATATATAAGACATTAAAAACTTTCTAGAAAAAGGAATTTCTATCAGAACTATTTATATCAAGAAAACTATTTCTGAACATTATGAGAATCTTAGATGGTCTTCTAATTAACTTTGTTATTTAACTTGTACTTGAGATATCCAAAGAATTTGGAATTGATTACTGCGTATAGATCAGCAGACAAAATAAAGTTATTTGGAATTTATTTATGTTAATTACATTATCAGGAAAGTTCGTTGAAAATGTTGGGATTAATTTGAATATGAGCAATGCCGGAAAATCTAATAGAATATTTATTTATTTCGTATGCAGGTTGCTTGGATTAAAGCAGACACTAAAGCCATACTGGCCATTCATGAAAGCGTCATAACGAATAATGCCAGGTTGTCTGTAACACACAATGATTTCAATACATGGACCCTCAACATCAGGAGCGTTAAACGAGAGGACAGGGGCCAGTATATGTGTCAAGTCAACACCGATCCCATGAAAATGCAGGTAATTCTAACAGCAAATGCATTTTCCTGCTCAAATTTACATCTGAATCGCATTTTCCAATTCAAAACGGCTGTCTGTTTTATTCTACTCATTTTTAGCGTTCTTTACCTTTAAATAATTTATACCGGATGGTCCGAACTGTATTCCGGAAATTTCGCCAGCATATTCTGCAGATAAAAGTAAGTAAAAAAGTTCGTATAAATGTATGTCTTAAAATACTTAGTTTCGGAGTTACAGGGTGTAGAAGTTTCATTTTTATTTCGATTTTTTCCAAATAATTTCTGTAGTAAGGGGAGTTTTTTGACATGAGAAATTTGATTTTGATGTCATTATAACTCCTACTTGTAGAGGGCGCCACCTACATATTTTTAACTAACTTGAAGAGTAATAAATTTTCGTCCGTACCTGTATAAAACTACTGAGTGAAAAAATACACATTTCCGTGATTTTTAAACGGTTTTTAAACGGTTTTATTTAGCTCGACCCATACGGTATTTATTTATTTGGGTCAAAATTAGAAATTGAAATTTAAGTACCTTCCTGTTGTTAGATTGATCTGAAATTTGGTACACACCTTTAGTTCCGATGACAATACAATATAGTAATATCAATAACATTGTAAATCTAAGATGGCCGCCGGTACAAAATGGCGGATTTCATATTTTTCCACAACCCCTTCAATATGGGTATCAAATGAAAGGGCTACACTAGTAGAATACTGTGATTATGACAAAATTTAAAATCCAAGATGGACGTCGTTACAAAATGGCGTATTAGGTGAGGGCATGAGTAGTCGTGTCCAGAACAGTTGTGTCCAAGATTATGTGACGTTAGAAGGACAGATAAAAAAAAATAGGTGATGAATTTGTGAAAATGTTGCGGTCCAACATTGCCGTTACAAAAGGATTGGTAAATGGTGCTATAGGCCACATTACAGAAATTGTTTGGCCTCAGTTCCGTCGAACCCAAATGTACGAAAAAGATGTACCATCAGTTTGGATTGACTTTGGCAGAGACGGCATACACGTTATACACCCGAAAGCCATACAGTTTCCAGCAAAATTCAATTATGGTACGGCTGAAAGAAGGATGTTACCCTTAATTTTGTCATGGGCATCCACCGTCCATAAAATGCAGGGCAGCACAGTCGACCATGCAGTAGTGTATTTGGGCTCAAAATTGTTTGAGGAAGGGCAAGCATACGTGGCTCTAAGTCGAGTCAAGTCTCTGGAAGGGCTATGTATTGAGGAATTAGATTGTAATAAATTATCAGGTAAAAAACCATGTAATAATGATGCACTAAATTAATTAAATAGAATGAGGAATATTCGGTAGGCATTTCCGTTAAATACTAAAAACTAGAAAATAAAAAATCGGTAAAAAAACTTTTAAGTCAAACGGTTTTATCTTATGTGCACTGAAAACTAGAAAATAATAATAACAATTAGGTATTTTGAACTTCTAGTTCAGAAATATTTTAGTACTAGGCAGAATAGCTTTTAGGCTCTGAAATCCTACCTATGGCAAAGCATATCTTTATACTTTGGTAGATCATGAGCTCGGCGTTCGCTGGTGAAGCCGCCACGGCTGGTTATTGATTGTCAAAATCTCCAGTTACGATTATAGTAAGTCGATGCAATCCACACTTAGTATAGAAGAAAGTATTACAGCAATAGTTAATGGGCCCCACGTTTTTATTTTAGTCTAATATGCCTAAAAGCTATATTCTGCCTAGTACTAAAATATTTCTGAACTAGAAGTTCAAAATACCTAATTGTTATTATTATTTTCTAGTTTTCAGTGCACATAAGATAAAACCGTTTAACTTAAAAGTTTTTTTACCGATTTTTTTTACGTAAAGAACATCTCTTGGTAAAAATCGATACGACCAACCGTTCTCAAGATATTTAGAATGGAAATAGTCAATACAGATCAATATTGACAAAAAAATAAGCATGTTAAGAAGATATAATTAATTACAATTAAAATAAAATTAATCACAAATTTTTCTTCGAAAAAATGATGATAAAACAGTTTCTGTTGGACTTTTGGCACAAAAGATTTCAAATTTATGATTTCAGTATATAGGGGTCGTCATTTTCTTGACAACTTCTTGATCTTGTCTTGATTTCAAGACAAGATCACTGGCTACTGTGATTTTGGCTACTGTAGTATAATGAGCCCAAAGTTTTTGAATTTTTTGAAAATTAGATGCCTGATCCTCGATTTTACGCATAAAGCATATCACATTAACCAATCTCACAGCGACTTTTAAATAGGGGGTTCCCCTTTAATAAACGAATTTTAAATGGGGGTTCCCCTTTTGTCAAGATATCAAGAAATTTCAAGATTTCTTGAATCAAGACAAGAAATCAACTCTCAAGAAATGGTCAAGACAAGATTTTCTTTTAATTCTTGAAAATATTTCAAGACAAGACAAGAAATTGCTTGTCAAGACAAGATTTCTTGTCTTGCCGATCCCTATCAGTATAATAACTAATTATTCATCATGTTTAATTTATGTCAATGATGACAGGTATTGATAATTTCGATTCAAAATATATCGAGAACCATTTCTCTTAGCGATTTTTATCAAGATACATTTCTTACGTAAAAAACGTCGTAAATGTATATTTTTTTACTCAGTAGTATTATACAGGTACGGGCGAAAAGTTATTACTCCTCAAACCAGGTTAAAAAAATGCAGGTGGCGCCCCCGACAAGTAGGCGTCATACTGACATCGCAATCGACTTTCTCAGGTCAAAAAACGCCCAGACACCGATTTTCATCCAAATATTGACGTTACTTCAGAAATTATTTGAGAAAAAATCGAAATAAAAGTGAAAATTCTACACCCTGTATCTCCGAAACTAAGTATTTTAGGACATACATTTATACGAACTTTTTTACCTATTTTTTTCTGCAAAATATGCTGCCGAAGTTTCCGGAATACAGTTCGGACCACCCTGTATTATCACCTTTTTTTTTCAATTCCAGACAGCATATTTAGAGGTCGTCATACCTCCAGACATTATGTACGAAGAGACCTCAGGGGACATGATGGTACCAGAAGGAGGTTCGGCCAAACTGGTTTGTAAGGCTCGGGGATTCCCCAAGCCCAGGATCATCTGGAGACGGGAAGATGGCGGATCGATCATGCCTCGTGGCAGCGAAGGTTTGAAAAAAGAACCTTTGACTGCATTCGAAGGTGAAGTGCTTAGTCTGACCAAAGTGACAAGGTCTGAAATGGGGGCTTATATGTGTATTGCTGCCAACGGTGTGCCTCCGTCTGTAAGCAAGAGAATGATGCTGCACGTCCATTGTAAGTAAATCTTGTTTTTTTTGTCCGTTATTTACAAAGTTGATCGTTTCTTTCACGACGCCCTCTAAATTTTTAGTTTATTGTACCATTGTAAACCCTTAATATTCACAATAAACCTTGCCCTAAAGACGATTCATTTCTCATTTAAATTAAAATGGGAATTTGCCACTTTTTGCGAATTATTTTTTTTCCCTCGATCTTGTTCTCTAGCAGCCATGACAATCATATATCTTGTACAGAATGGGCTCTTTCACTATATTTTGTAATTAGCATAATTGAATAAAGCAATTAATTCTAGAATTTTCTGCTATCTCACTTTCGAAAAATTTGAAGTCGTTCTTAAGAAAATAAATAAAAACAAAAAAGCCCAGAATAAAAATCCGCACTGTATGTTTAATACGTCACACCTGGCATGTTGAAAAGCGGCAACACGGCCGGGCCACCATGCTGACCCACCACCACCTCCACACAAGGCCATTCAACCTTTTCCAATATGGCGGAGTTAGAAGTGCTTTATTTGGCGCGTATTTTAAAACATGTTTTATTTCCAAATAGACATTTTTCACACAAATGTCGGGTTAGATTACGTAATATTTCACTAATTTTTTAATATACAGGGAGTCTAAAGCTCTCCACATAAGTATGGAATTTTTTGTATTATTACATTTATGAAAACATCAGTTAGTTACTTTTTATAAAGAGGTCTGCTTTCTCAGAAAATAGGTAGGTAGTGTACTAGTGTGTAAATATTCAAACTTGAGGTAGCATATATAGGGTGTTCAAAATCATCGGAAAAAGAAATAACCAGAAATATATGACAGAAAATAGCAATATAAACTAAATATTCAATTGCAAACACTTACCACTTACCAAACACTATACTATTATGGACAATATAGGAAGTTACTTGTCTTAGTAAAAGCTATGGTAAATGCTCTTGGAATTATAAACTACACTGGCTTGGGTCAAAAAATATGGAATATTTTTCTTAAGTTTTGCAGCATTACACAAATGGGAATAAATTTAAACTATAATAGGTGAGGATAACTAAAAAATATAATATGTGTTTCAAGATTTTATATAGAAAAAAAACTAAATACCTTTTTATAACGTCATTTCTTTTTTTTGCATAGTTCTTCATAGTATGTGAGGGGCAATTGTGACCTAAAAAAAGACTTACATCCAGGCCATTTATATTTTCAAATGTGAATGTTGTCAATATCTTTCTGTTATCATTTTGATGTAAAAAGCTTGACTATTCTCCCAATATTTTACTTATAGTAAGGTAAGTGTAAGCAGTAGCCATAACTAAATCCTCACTAGGGTAACAGAGGCTTTTGACCTTTTTGAGGCATATTTAATGCACTTCTTACCCGAGAACTACTAGTAGGAGTGAAATTATCTCTTTTAATAGCTGTCAACCATCTTTTACGAAGCTCGTCATTTTTGGGGAATATAAAAGCAGAAACCTTGGGACCCCCTCTATAATTCTCGTGACAATTTGGAACCAGAGCATGTAAAAGGTATGCTACAATAAAATGTTAATACCTATCTTTTGATTATTGTAAGTAACCATTATAAAGTACTATACAGACTAGCGGTGAAGGCTTTTTACTCATTTAGGTGTAATATCTTGATAAATACTTCTAGTTCTTACCTTAAAATAATTAATAATAGAGGAGTACGACAAGCACAAAAGTTTGAAGTTCCCTATGTGAAATGTCTGGTTTGGATTTTTATTACACTGTTATTTTATCACAATTTTCTGATCACACCATGCACTGAACACTAAGAACTAAACAAACGTGTTGCAGAAGCACAACAAACTAGAGATAATTAATTATTTCTGGTATGCCATCAGAACGAGAAACCACTACCGGCTTTTCAGATTAAAGGTAAACAATTTAATAATGCGCTGCCTTCGCCGCCATATTTGCCTTGCCCATATCATGTTGATTGGCCTTGAGTTGAGGTGGTGCTGGTCAAATCAAATCGCAATGTTGCCAGTTGTTTGCTGGCGCACGAGCACGGTTCTGCAATGTGATTGGGCGTATTTTTCATACGTCATCAATTGGCGCTTTAAAATTATTTCAAATTAAAGCAATTTTGAGGGCAATTTTGATGTTTACGCATTTTTTCACTTGCCAGAAGGTTGAACGGTCAGGTTAGTACCGACAGTTATCATTTACTCTGATAAATATTTAAATAAACTTTTCAAATTTCAATCCTTCATATTTTCTCAATGACTCGACCGATTTTCAAAAACGAAGCGGGGAAATATAGAGAATAGAAAGCTCTGCGGCGACACTTGACCCCCCTTCCCATTTGAAAAAAGCTTTTTTTGAAAAAAGATTTTGCAATCATTTTTGGGGAAAAAGTTGTCCCCCTCACAAACAAAATTGACGTGTTTTTTAATTTTTTGAAAAAAAAAATTGCTCTGGCCGTTATGCTTTGCGGAACGTTTTCGATGGGCCACCCTGTATTTTTACAGTAGTACATTAAATTTTTCAAAAATAATCATGGACCCAAGAATACTGGATTAGGATATCGAATGGGAATGCATAAAGTAAACATATTATGCTATGCCGATGACGCAGTACTTATTGCAGAGTCAGAGGACGACCTCCAAAGAATGCTACAAGCTTTTAACAGACAGGCAGAAAAACTTAACATGCAAATTTCCACAAATAAGACCAAATGCATGACCATTACAAAGGAGCCTCTACGGTGCAAATTGGTAATAAAAAACAAAACTATTGATCAGATAATGTCATTCGAATACCTCGGATGCAAAATTACAAACTCAGGGTTCCTGGAAGAAAAAGTAAGGAAACAAGCCAATAAAGCTGCCGCAATATCAGGACATCTTAAATATCCCATATGGAAAAACAAACATTTGAGTACAGAATGTAAGTCAAGAATATACAAACCCTGCATACGACCAGTGATGACATATGGTGCGGAAACCAGAGCTGAAACATCAGTAACAAAGAGAATCCTACGAATACTGAAATGAAAACCTTAAGAATGATAACTGGATACACATTGAGGGACAGACAGAGAAATGTAGACATAAGAGAAAAGTGCCAAACAAACGACGTTGTCAGATGGATAAGGCAGAGAAGAAGAGAATGGAATCAGCATGTCAATAGAATGGGCCCCGACAGAATGGCCATAATAATTCGCAACAACGTACCCCATGGCAGGAGACCTACTGGACGACCACCTAAGCGTTGGCAAGACAGTTGGCAGTCAACCTCGCAAGAGTTGCTTAGACGAGGAGGAAACCGGAACTAAACAGGCGATACGCCTTCTAAAAGAAGAAGAAGAAGAAGAAAAATAATCATAATTTTGTCAAAAAGGTTGAAGAATTTAGGAATTTACCGAGTAGTTAATTTAACCGTGAATAACTTTTGAAGGAGCAGGTTTATCGAAAATTGTAAAAAATTATTGCGCAAAAATTCCATTTTTCGACTGAATTTAGGTACAGCTATAAATTTTTTGCGTTAAAGTTAACTAAAGATGACAGTTAATTTTGACATTCGATATATGTTGACAAGCGCCTACTATGTTTCTCTGTGTAAAATATAAAAGACAACCCTGGTATAATTTACATTATACCTGTCTGGTATATTTGTTTTCAAGTATTTTCTGGTGACAGGAACATGTTTTTGTTCTATTATCGCTTCACTCAAAAGCAAACAGCATAAAAAACAGAGTTGCTCTCGGCGAGAAGTAATCTTTTAGAATTTGTAAAAAGGAAGGAGAATAGACGCCTAATGGTAAAAGTTTTAAAGTGAATATGCAGAATCTTAAGCTCTACAATAGGGAACAAATCGGCAATAATAAGGTGGAAGTTGGTGAGCACTCAAGGTGCTCCGGACTGAATTAAAAATTCTCACGCTTTTTAACGATAAAGCCGGAGCCAATTCTTTATTATCATTCCTTATAAGATGACTTTCAATTTTAGGTTATGTATATTTACAGGACCCTATTCGACACGGCCGAGATGTATACTTCATCGGAGCGGGCCATAAAACTTTAGGGCGCAATCAAATTATTCACCATATTGTTACTCGCCTAACAAAAACCGAAAACTGATAACAAAAGAGTCAAATTGATTAACTTTGGGAAAAGTAACCCGCTGTTCTCAAACAACTATGAATTGGGATTGTTTTCCAACTCCGGCAACGGATCCTAATCGCTAATTTCGAATTATTTACGCATTTAAGTCATTTTTGCACTACCTCGCTAGTATATTTCACATTATTATTATTGTGACATCTACAAACATCATCTAAAGTTAAAAATAACCTTCAAAAGAAAAAGTATTTAATTATGTCCAAAAAATGGCTAACTTTATTAATGCAAACTTTTTAACAGCATGAAAAAATTAGAAAATGCACTTAGCGCTGCATATAATACTACTGTAAAATGCTCTCACTTTTAGCGTAAAGATTTAAATGGAAAGGTAAAAATTTAAATGAATTTAACTGTAGTTGGTTTTGATATGATAAACATTTATTATAGCTGAAAATTTAATTTATATTTTAACAACTGATATATCCTCAAAAAATATCCCTTTTAAAAGTCTACAAAATATTTTATATTATTATGATAAAAGTATTACTTTATTTTCTTTTTTTTTTATGAAAAATCGATTTTAAAAAAACGGGATATCACACCCCAATAAATTATGTGGAGCAGTCGGTAGGATTATCGTCTTCTATGTAGTATATTAATTATATTTTGCAAAAGTAAAGCCAATAAAATATTATTAGTGGTAGTATATTTTTTCAATATAGATGTCTACTTTTATTGTATACTTAGAACAACCTGAGGCGAATACTAATTTAGTGCAGAACATAATACAGCAATAAGTAGGCCCTATGTCGGCGACGAAGCAATATTTTTCGATGTTATTTTTTGTGCATTTGAGAAAGCCGGGTTCACATTATTTTATATTGCTGTCCCTTCTTGATCGCTATTTATGGCAACTG